ATTTTAAAATGCGTATATTTATTAGATAATAAATAAAAAACCTAACATGTTAACATTAAGTATAATATTTCTTAACAATAAGCCTCAAATCAGAGGCGAAACGTCGGTGCTAGTTGTTTTATAATAAATCCATTTTTGACGTTCTGGTGAGTTTTTGTAACAAGGAGTTTTGTTATTTAGTTTTTATTAGATAACAATATATTAATGTTTCTTGTCAAATGTAGAAATTCTTTCTTGTATTAAGTAGTACTTCAAATCAATTAATTCTTTTAACTGTAAGGGGCTGCTCATAAACTATACGGTTCTATTTCAGTCACCTTTTTATTTTTATTGGTTCAATCCTTGGACTCCCACCTAGAACAAATTGTCTTTTTTTGAGATTCTTTTTAATTTTTTTTTATTTAAACTATCTGAAACTGTCTTGTTATTGATCTTAGTCTTGGTTTTGGTCTTGCTGGTATAGTCTCGGTCTCAGTCATAATCTGATCCTTAGGTGTTTTTTTAATAATTCTTCCAAGCACAAATTTTTCTATTTATCGACTATAATTCCTAGTCTAATTGTCATAAACGCTAAAATTTTCTAGCATGACTTTTAAAGAAAATAGTGTCGATTCCATTGGAAATAATTGTATATTCGATCTTGGTCGCAGTCTGCTAGTATAAAGACAATCCTGGTCTTAGCCGCTTTGCATTTTGACAGGACTTAGACAAATTCCCTCTCGTATATGGAACAGAGCAGCCTTTAAACAACCCACACCCCCCTTATGACAGTAATAAGGTTTATGAACAGCCCTTAATTAAAAACAATATTGTCAAACGTTTTTAATTGAAAAACGTGTTGGTTATTGTTTCAGAATAATATTAAAAAATCTGCCTATCCTGATAGTTTTATTCAACTGTCTCACCAATATTTTACTTCTCCTAACATGCACGTTTGTTCGGAGTGGTGACACGTTTGATTTTAAAATGGAGACTGGGTGGTTTTTAGCTAGCGCAGGAAGATGTAAGCAAACAAAATACAGATTATCTTCATAGATACCGAAAATCAGTTACTCGATCCTGCGCTATTATCTGTTTTATATCTCTACGACTTCTTCCATCCTGAATTATCTTCATAGATACTGAAAATCAATGACTCGATCCTGCGCTATCATCTATTCTATATCTCTACTACTTCTTCCATCCTGAATTATCTTACTTCGTAGACACCGAAAATCAGTGACTATTATAAAATTAATATAAATGCAAAACTATAATGAATCTCGCGGGGCTGCAGAAACGTTCAAGGAGGGCCGCATGCGGCCTACGGATCGCGGGTTGAGCCACCCCTGCCATATACCGTCTTCTCATCATTTAATGCTTTTATTCTCAGGTAAGCCAGGACTGTTTTCGATACGAACAGTAACTGACGTTATTATTATCAAAGTTTCTCATCAAAACATAGTAAAAGCTTTAGGTCCTTACTCAAGTTTGAAGAAATCGATACACGATGCCGTTGCCGAAGTGAAAGACTCATTCGTAAGGATTATAATTTTAAAATAGAAAATTTAATTTTCACCAAAAAAGAAGAGAAAAAAGGAAAAGTTAAAAGTTAAATTGAAATTGTTATATCAATATTTTTCGAATGCGAACTAACTAAAATCACGATCTATTACTTAATTTTAAAATAAGCTTTTACTGAACATTGTATTGAATTAAATATATTGACAATTATTGTAGGTTGTTCACAAGCATTTTCACGAAATAAAGGGCGTCGCTACTTATCAGTATTATAATGAAGAAAAGCCAAGATCGTTTTTCCATTTTCCCAAAAATAAGTTGCACCCTCTTAATATCGATTATATTCGCGGGTTCGATGAAAGCGGACCATTCAAAATTTTCAGGTAATAAAGGTATTAAGAATTACGAATGTGATAAAACGAAAACTTTTACAATCTTTACAAAATCTCAAAATTAATTATAGTTTGGTGTATTATAATTAACAGTCCTTTTTAATATTACTAATGGTTTAGTGTTTGATGGTTTTTCGCTCAGAATTTTTCGGATAAAACTGATTGATGAAGTGAATTTTGGGTACCTAATAATTAGCGAATGGCTAAAAGAACAATAGTTATGTTGTTGATGTGCGCCCTTACCTTAGGATAGATATTGTGAACCTTCTCGGTGTTGGGAATTATTACATTCTAAATAACCCCTCGAATCGATATAGAAATAAATTTTAAGCAAAAAGTATTGTAGATTTAGAAAAAAAGCTTTTGACAATGTTAAATGGGGCAAGGTGTTAAATATACTTAAAAATGTAGGGATAAGTTACAGAGATAGATGAGTGATACTTAGTTTGTGTAAAGAGCAAGAGGCAGTTATAGAGCTGGGACTGCAACGTAGAGAAGTAAATTTTAGGAAGAAAGTCAGAAAGGGATTTGCCGTATCTTTGTTCAAAGTTTAATCACAAGGGGTGATTGGTAAAGGTTTAAACGTTGAACGCATCATAAATTGTATTCCAGAATATGGAAAGATGTTTATTTTACGTATTTAAACATGATTTTAATATTTATAACGATTAAATATATGATAATTGAATGTTTTATTAGAAAGGGGTAGTTCTCATCCCAAAAAAAAACATCAAAGCACTTTAGGGACATAACTTTTGAAGAGCAGGGTAAGCTTAATTACAAATTTTCATCTAGATCAATATTATCCGAAAGAATTCGGAGGTAATACGCTATTTTTACCTCCAAATACTGCTATTTTTGAGAGAGCTTTCAAAATTTTTAACATGTGTACTGTTACGTCTCGAAATGTAGGATTTAATTTTGTTTCGGACGTACCTCGATTTTTTTGGTTTTTCGTATGAATAGTTCTAACACACGACTTTAAACTAATATTAAATAATGTAAAAACTTGGTGACACTACCCGTTCAGTCTAATTCACTGTTTATACAAATTTAATTATTTAGTAAAGCAATTTATATAGAACGACCAGTAAATAAAAGTATTCACTTTAAATCGTAATAGAATAATCTTTATTAGGCTAATAATAAATCTTACTGACTAAAAGAAGAACCAGGGGATATATATATACGAGGGCGCTATCAATGTTTGCTTGTTCAAACGATAATGATTTCTGGTAGTCTTTACAGTACCCATCATCACTTGCATACTTTCCGTGCATACAGTTATACAGATCGGCAGACAACAATATAGAGCTATCCTCTGACAT